TGAAGCCGCTCACTTATATATTCCATTGTACTAAAATGTAAAAATGGACCACAGAATATTTGGATGTTACTGCTCTGAACACAGATTTTATTCTGCCGTCTTTGATGTTGACCAAACTTTGCATATTTGAATTCAACACTTCTATTTTACAATTATTTTTGTAATGAAATACTGCCCAGTTATTTCAACAGCAACTGTTACTTTTTTGCAGAATATATCATGAGTGGTTTACAATGTTTGTTTTCTTCTAAGCTGCTAAACCTTACCGGACACATGCACAGATGTATGTACACTATGTTTGTTTGTAAACAAAAGACTGCAAAAGAAATGTATGCTTTTTGATATCCATTATTTAAAAGGCTTTTATTCTGAATCCCAGGAGGACACTTTTTTAGTTTATTTTCTTATAATTTCCTCTATAAATTTCTGTATTACATGGTTTTAACCATTTATTTTTTTAAATACAGCAGGAAAAAAAATTGGAGGGAGGCAAACCAAAGGAAGCAATTAAAAAAAAATTATTAAAAAAAAAAGAAAAAGAAAACCTTGCCCTTGGATCTCAATTTGGAGAAAAAGTTCAACTGTCTAGCATTAACCTGCTCTTCTTGCAAATATAATCCCATCACAAACAATAATGACCAGTTAAATTTTACGAGGCAGGGACAGACTGGTCAAATCCAGTTAAACTAGTTAAAGCAGTGCAGGAAGGCACATATAGGAAGCTCGGGGAATTTTTGCTGAATTAACATGCCGTTTTACTATACATCAGCCTCAATACCTCATTCATGTGTTCACTTTTACCACACCTGGCACCTGTTCAAGCCATTCCTTACTATTCTGAATGATATGAATGCTGCGTTACAACATGACATCAGCATTCAAGCTTTAAAACAATGAACAGATTATACCTTTAGTTACCTTTAGTCATTTTAAGTCAACAGCATACCGTTTTTGTTTTCAACATTTTTATTACTTGTTAACATGGTTTTAACACCATTAATTGTATACAGTACTTGTGTAAAATGTAGCAAGAAAACAAGGCCTCAGTACAATGTGTGAATGTTCAAAGGCACATCCATAAGCATACATTCAAACGACAGACCGCAATCTGACATGCTGTTTAGAGTTCAAACAAATTTGCTTTATGAATTTCCATTTGCCAAAGTTCAAGCTGCTTTGTAAAATGAACAGGACAAACATCTCATAATTTGGTAATGCTATGTGAAATAGTAGAGCAAACTGAATCAGCTTTGACCCTGAAAAAAAAAAAGCAACTATAACACTATTTAAAGGACACACATGATGAATTCCCATTGAGTTTACATCAACCAGCTGCCATATATCCTCTATTCTTATTATTTTATGAAAGATTTACAAAGGGATGTGTTCTCTTATTGTTGTTAATATTGCACAGTGTGCACACAAGGCACCCTTTAACCTGCGTTTGAAAGCTTGAATAAAAAGATAATTTGGACACCGAACAACCACATCACATGCATTCTGGAGTCATTATATCAATTCTATTTGCATTTGTTACTTTTAAAGCTGTCATTTCTGACTGCTTATCACATATTTTAAGGCAAATATACTACTTCTACTGAATTTAAATAGACTAAATGTGGTTGCAGGTCAAATATGTTGTCATATTTAAGAAATATTCTAGGACACGAATGTTACTCAAGTCTCCAATGGTTTCCAGTTGCTGATTTGGCTTCATAAAATACTCAAAGGCTCTTGTTCGGTCCCACCGTGTTCTCTGTTATAATCAGTCCCAACCGCCACTCTCAAAAGTGAAACAAGGAATGCACAAAAATTGAGAATTTTCACCAATTGATGCATAAATACCTTTGAAACTTGAGCTGGACTCAATTTTGACAAAACGAAGCTTCAATAAATCAGTCTCAGATGACCAACGAATTGAATTTGCATAATGGAAACCATGATGATTGATAATTAAGTATAGGCATGTGAAAGTAACAGTGATTTAAAACCTACTACAGAGTAAGTGCACATGGAAGAGTTAGTTTTTTGTGTGTGTATGTTGAGGGTACACTACAGTAATGAAGTACAAAGAGGCTCCTCCACATGGTGTTATGCATAGTGAGAGAAACCTGAATCGGAATCAGGTGAAGCCAGTCAAGGTACACCGGCACACTGGGAAAGGTTGAGAAACAGGAGAGCAGACCCAGTGGACACCATCAGACAGACCATCATGTTGCCCACTCCCTCATTCACGTGGTTCGTTAGGTGGCGGGATCTTGACGTCAGACGGCTCTACGCCCCAGACCTCACGTGCGTACTCTGCGATGGTGCGGTCGCTAGAGAACTTTCCAGAAGCAGCAATGTTTCTGATTACCTTTTTGGTCCATTCTTTTGGGTTCTGAGGAAAAGGGGGGAATTTTACACACAATGAAGGACAGTCGAAATTTAAGCTTAAAAAAAAAGCTGCTTTTGGAAAACAGCTGTGAAAGCAGTATTACCAATATGTCCGTTCATCAAGATCAGCTATATATTTTGAGTAGTGGTAGAATGATATATAGTCCAAGTATTGTAGATCAATCAGTCAGTGAACACAGGTCATTTTGACATTTAGCGCCCCCTTGTGACAAATACAAACATTTCCAAACACACTTTCTGTTCTCAAATATTTTAGTTTATAATAGATCATTAAAAATGGAAAATGTTCAGTCTATATAGACAATATTTTTAATGATATATTATAGCCTTGAAAAATAAACAATTTTGCATTTAATGGAATAATTTTCAATGATCAAATATTACTACCGACACTGGGCTCAGCAACTGAAAAGCCCACATTGGTAAACCACCAGTAAATATCCAAACATCTCTACTCACCCTGTAGAGTTCATTAACTTTTTCTTGACAGCTGATATATGCTTCATAGTCTGCAAACACCTTGAACCTGAGAGAGAAAAACAGAAGTCAGGCACCTCTTAATAAAGCATAAATAAGTCTGAGAATTGTTACATAAAATAGCTATGAATTCTATAGATGTCAATATATTAGGGTAAAATTTTTAAATAAAACCGTAGCAAGTTTCCCTTACGTATAAACAAAAATGAGATATACCTGTATAAGCCACACAAGAAAATTCTAACTTTTTTTAAAAGGGAGGTGAACTCTTTAACACTCACCTGTCATGATTCATGAGCATGTTGACAACGTCTTTAAAGAGTTCAGGCTCTTTGGGGCTGAAGAATCCAGTGCTGATCTGATCCATCACCTGCTTCAGTTCAGGCAGACGCTCGTAGTATTCCCTGGCATTGTATCTAGATCACAAACAGTGTTGTTATTGTAGACTAAAAATAAAACCATTAAAATAGCTTTTGGTAATTGAAATAAGGCTGAAATAAAGCAAAATAGAATAGACAAAAGTAGCAATTACTGATTTTAGCTTAGAATGTTCTCACAAATAAATTACTCTAAAATACCTCAACAAATTTCACAACCAGGGACTTATATCTATGTTTTTCTTTCATTGTTTGATTACATCAGTCCTCCAGCCTAAAGCTTCCTTGTTTTCTGTCTTATCCCATTTCTATCCATTCACTCTCTCACCCCTTTTTGTCCATGGCCTCCACATCCTCCACCCTCATGCCAAAGATGAACAGGTTTTCTTCTCCAGCTTCTTCTGCCATCTCCACATTAGCGCCATCCATGGTGCCGATGGTCAGAGCGCCGTTAAGCATGAACTTCATGTTTCCTGTACCAGAGGCTTCTGTACCTGCCGTGGAGATTTGCTCGGACAGGTCGGCAGCAGGGATCACTGAGGAGCAAAGCATATGACACATTCAATCACATACTCGGCACATAATTTGTAACATAAAAAAAAAAAAAAAAAACTATAATGCATCTATAGCAAAAATATTTATTAGTTTAATTATTGCATGACAAAACATAATAAATCTCATCTGATCTGATCTTTTTCTGGTTATACATCAACAATTCTTTATTAATTTACTCACCCTTCTCAGCTAATGAGACTCTATAGTTCTCCAGGAAAATGACCTTGAGTCGGTCTCCCACCACAGGATCATGATTCACCACCTCCCCCACTGAGGTGAACAGTTTAATGATAATCTTCGCCATGTGATAGCCTGGTGCTGCCTGCATGAGGCAGTGCAGGACAACACAAAAACACCTTTTAGAAATTTTAGGACTCTTACAGCAGTGGCTCTCAACCTTTTTGACTTGAAGGCCTCCCATTGTCCAGCACAATATTCAAAGGCCCCTCACATGAAAAAGCAGCTAGTTTTCAAACTCCAACAGAAAGTACAAGTGTCAATATTAACCATCAAATTACATAATGAAAAAAGTATTCCATGATTCCAGACGTTTCAGAAATAGTATGTTCTTTAATAAAACAATTGTTGCTGAGGGTGGAAAAATCTGTTTGTTTTTTAAGCATTTTCAGTTAAGTTTGACTATTACATCATTTCATATCATTTTAAAGGGTTAGTTCACCCAAAAATGAAAATTCCATCGTTAATTACTCACCCTCATGTCGTTCCACACCCCTAAGACCTTTGTTCATCTTCAGAACACAAATTAAGATATTTTTGATCAAATCCGATGGCTCAGAGAGGCCTCCATTGACAGCAACGCCACCCAAACTCTCAAGATCCATAAAGGTACTAAAGATGTCATTAAAACAGTTGACGTGACTACAGTGGTACTACAATAATTTTATGAAGCGACGAGAATACTTTTTGTGTGCAAAAACAAAACAAAAACAGTAACTTTATTCAGCAATCTCTTCTCTTCCCGGTCATTATCCTTACGCGGTTAACACAGTAACGCTTCATAAAATTATTGTAGAACCACTGTAGTCACGTCGACTCTTTTAACGACATCTTTAGTACCTTTATGGATCTTGGGTTTGGGTGGCGTTGCTGTCAATGGAGGCCTCTCTGAGCCATCGGATTTGATCTAAAATATCTTAATTTGTGTTCTGAAAATGAACGAAGGTCTTAGGGGTGTGGAACGATATGAGGGTGAGTAATTAATGACAGAATTTTCAGTTTTGGGTCAACTAACCCTTTAAGTCGACCTGTAGACCCTTTAGAAGTTTGCTGAGGCCCTCTAGTGGTTTGAGAACTCCAGCTTTTGTCAAATACAGTTATGACCATTATCTACATACCTAAATAATAGTAATTACAATAATTATTATTATAATCATTTAAAAAGTAATTTTCAATTGAATTAAACTGAATACACATACCTTTCCTCCAATCATTACGGTCCTTGGAACAAACTTCTTGTTTGGTTCTTTCCTAATCCCTAAAAAGTGCAGAATGAAAAAAAATATTATTTATAAAATCACACACCAATTACTCATTAATTGGAGTTATTTAAAAAGGAAACTCCTACATAATTCTGATAAACAACAAAAAAAGTTTTATTTTCTATAATATTTTATAGAACAATTTCAATACAACTCTACAAAACAAGAAAACAGCTATTGAAGAGACATTTATATTTCCAACTGAATTAAAAAAAAAAAAAAAAAACTGCACCAATAAAAGACAAACCAATATTAATAAAAGTGCCATATATTTGGTCAGTTCCTCTGTCAACCTGGCACAACCCAGTGTGAACACATTTCTGTGTGTAATTCTTACTGTTATATAAAGTGATGACATGCAGGCAGTTGAGCAGTTGTCTCTTGTACTCATGGATTCTTTTGACCTGGATGTCGAAGATGGACTCAGGATTTATCTTTACTTTGTACTCACTCTCAAGATATGCTGCAAACTTCAGCTTATTCTCCTAAAAATGAATAAACAAATAAGTCATAAACAAGAAAAAAAAAAAAAAAAAAAATCATAATAAATAAATACCAAAAATCATAGAACACAACAACATAAATGTAGACCTGTTTCACTTTGGCCACATCCCGAATGAACATTTCATCATTGACAAAGTCCAACAGTTTTTTTAGCTGGAAAAGATCTGTCAGGAAGTCCTCACCAATTTTCTGAAAGGAAAACAAGCACAAGACGGTGAGAGACAGAAAAAAAACCTGTGGGGGAAGAGCAAGAAAGAGTTACTTCGTTAAGAAGGTCACCTCAGCGATGATGTCAGCCAGGCCGGGGTTGCAGAGCAGCAGCCAGCGACGAGGTGTGATGCCGTTTGTCTTGTTCTGAAACTTCTCTGGCTCAATGTCACAAAAGTCCTTAAACCTTAAACCACAAAAAAATAAAAACGTCTCCGAGTTCTAAATGTCTAAATTGTCTAATATCTTAGCAATATCAATGGGGGAAAAAAACTGTCAATATATCATTGACCTAAACTAGTATCTCTACACGAAAATAAAATTGAAACCGACATTATAAAAAAAAAAATCATGGCTTCCTGGAAATGATTAATTCTGCTATTATCAAATATTTTTGTATAACAACTGATGCACTCTACTCACACAGTGGTTTTGACAATGTCCGAGTGAATCCGTGCGACTCCATTAACAGCGTGTGAGCCGACCACACAAAGGTGGGCCATGTTGATCCTCTTTGGATCGCCCTCCTCGATCAGAGACATCCTGCACAAACGATCATTGTCGCCTGGATACAGCACAGCAACTCTCTACAACAGAGACTCAGTCAGACAAACCGTTTCATTTAACAACATCTTGATGATCTTGAGTTAGTGTGTGTGCGTATCCTCACATCCAGATGCCGCTGGTTGATCTCGTAGATGATCTGCAGGTGTCGTGGCAGAAGTTTCTCAAACATGTGGACAGGCCAGCGCTCCAGAGCCTCAGGTAACACCGTGTGGTTTGTGTATGCGCACGTCTTTGTGGTGATCTCCCATGCCTACACGCATACATAAATGCTAATTTTGATAACTTATTAAAAATAGAAATGACATAAAATAAATTTAAATCAAATAAAATAAGTAACTTCCAAGAAAATTTGACATAAAAATTCCATTATTTTGAGTTGGCTGGTTGTGTGCACAATACTCTTTACATTAGCATTACAATGTCTATTACTCATGTCAGCATGACTAAGCAGAAAAATGCAGCACAACAAAACGACCAAGGAATTAGTTTGCTTTTCATTTGTGCCAGAACACTCGCATATCAACTAATTTCAGTAAATGCATGTATATGAATAAATTAATTATAAGTAAATATTGTTCCATTATCTTAACACACAGTTTGACAGCCTGAACATCACACCTTTTCCCAGTCTAGCCGCTCTATATCCACCAGGATCCTCATGAGTTCAGGAATCGCCAGAGCTGGATGAGTATCATTCAACTGGATCGCCACCTGAGAGAGAGTTTTGAAAGCATTATACTTTGAAGGATATAGGTTGATTCGAACAAAAAAATTCTGTCAAATTTAAAAACAGCAACCAATTGAACGTATTTAAAGTAATATCACCTTTTCATGGAAAGTCTCAAAAGAGGTGCGCACGGGATCCCGGCAGCCAAACTTTGAAGATTTAAAGCGTCTGATGATGTCCTGCAGAGTAGCAGCCACCACAAAGTACTCCTGCTTTAAACGGAGCTCCTTCCCTTCAAAAAACTAACACATGCATATACAAAGAATTTAATAAATATTAAAGACATACACACACTGAGAGCTTTACAAATAGCAAAATATTTCATTTTCTGTAATTTTTTTCTGATAGAATAACCAAGCATTGTGTTTTCTAGCTGTATAGTTCAGTAGCTGTGTGAACAATAGCTATATAACCCTAGTGTATCATGACATAAGCCAACTGTTACTCAGGAGTTCATATTACAGTTTTATACTTCCTCATTGCATTACACATATCTGTGGTACTGTTGCACAAGATAAGAGCTTTCAGTCTGCTTGTGCCAGGCCGCTAAAGCATATGTTGCATACCAGCATCTACATAGTCTAAATATACACAAATTATATTTTGGTAACTAATACATATATCGTATCTCACAAATTCTTGCTCTCTGTTCTCCCTCTCTGCACATTCACTCCATCTGGCACACACACACACACACACTAAGAGTTTTACAGTATTGAGAGGCGTTTGTACTTACATTGTCATTGGGGTAGAGCACCCTGGAAATGTTCTCTGCCAGGTTTCGGTCCAGTACAGCCTGGATGTAATCTCCCACATTAACTACAAAGGAAAAAAAGAGAGTATTTCAAAACCATACTGTATTTATTTTGCATTAGAAATCAATGATACAACAGACAGAAATACTCTCAGCATGTACAGTAACATTTTAGCCACACTACTTTTGTTTTCACAGGCAGGTGGTCATAGACCGTAGTTTTTTTTTCAGGATTCTTACAATAAAGAGTTCAAAAGAACAGCATTTATGTATCTTTTGTAACCTTATACTTTATTGACACATTTGATCAATTTAATGCATCCTTGCTGAATAAAGTTTATTTCTTCTCAAAAAAAAAAAAAAAGAATGGTCTTTTACAACTATTTGCAGAAGACAATCTACACATTGGGAAAATGATGGTGTTTTATGCGGAAATATGACTTAATTTGGGCGCAAAACGTTAAGAGTACCATATGTCTATTATAGAATGAGACATTCTATGTAGAGGCCTGACAATCATGAAGGACCCTCTCAAAAGCAGGCGTATCTATGGGTAACGCTGGCCTGCTGCCAGCTGTTCTCCTGTTTCTGTGCTGCTGCAAGAACGCTATATTTAGTATTCTCCACAGAAACCATTCTCCCAGGAAACAAGTTAAACTCAAGTAAGAAGGTAAGTTTAGACTAGATCACACTAAAAGTAATACAACACACTATTTCAATGATACAAGGAAATTTCAAGCATACTGTAATGAATTTTAAGCATAACAATATTGCAAAAATCTTAGCTCACACAGAAGCAGGGATCCTCCATCCAAACCAGGACCAAGGGTGTCACTTACTTTCAGTGATACAGCCGAAATAGTACCAAAACACAGATGTGATATACTGGTCCAAGGACTGAATGTGTGTGTGTGTAAATGCATAATCATTGTGTGGACTCACATTCTTGCAGGTTGAAATCATTAGGAGCTTTGGCAGACCACAGTCTCATAGTATTCACAGTGTTGTTTTTATAACCAGGCACAGGAGTGTCATAAGGCATCGCAAGCACCACCTGCCAAAGAAAAGATTGTACAAATATTCTCATCAGCTGATTTTAATTAAGCTTATTTCTATTTAATTGCATTCATAGAGAAAAAAAAGACACTTAATAGACACTTGCTTCAGGATCTAATTTTTTAATCAACCCAACCCAGTGCTAAAATGGTAAACAAAATGTCTTTTAAAAAATGAACAAATTAAATATATTACCAAGAAATTATTCACTTGTGCCTGATGCAGCAAGCAAAATTTGATTGCACACACAACCTTTTTTTGTCTTTCCCTTCTCTTTTATCTTTTAGAAATGTATAAGCGCATTGCTTTTGCCAACCTAACGATCCAAGATTACACTACCATCCACATGTTTGGGGTTAGTGTGATTTTCTTAAAGAAATTAATATTTTTATTTAGCAGGGATGCATTAAATTGAACAAAAGTGACATTAAAGACATTTATCATGTTACCAAATATGTCTATTTCTAATAAATGCTGCTCTTTTGAACTACATATTCATAAAATAATCCTAAAAAAAAAAAAAAAATCACAATTTTCACAAATATATTATAAAGCACAACAATATTACCGTTTTTATAGTATATTGATTAAATAAATGCAGCCTTGGTAAGCATAAGAGACTTTTTTCCTAAAGCATTAAAAAAAATCTAACAGTTAACTAACAAAACTAACACAGTTTATGGGATTGCATTTTATTTTAATTTAGCAGTTTTTTTTCTCCTGCTATTCTATCAGAACAGGATAGTGTCAGCAATTAATTGAGAGTCATTGCACTAGATCATGACTGACAGACCTGGGTGTCAACCCACTTTGGTCCCTCAGGTGTATGCGCCACTCGGCCATAAAAATGCACAGGCAGCATGTACTCCGGACGGGCCTTCTCCCAAGGGTTACCATAACGCAGCCAATCATCAGCTTCCTCCACCTAATAAACAGAGTTGTCCCATAAGTAAATGGTTTGATATTAAAAAAACTAAACACTGAGGCTTTTTGTCCAACTCAATATAAGGCTAAGGTAAATGTATATTTGTGTATGAATGTATTTTTCAGTTTTGGTTTACCTGCCAGCCTTTAGTGATCTTCTGATTGAAGATGCCAAACTCATAACGAATGCCATATCCATATGCCGCCAAACCCAGAGATGCCATTGAGTCCAAAAAACAAGCTGAAGGAGAAGGCGAATGCCCATTATGATCAGGTTGTGTACTCTACCACAAGTGTAGTTGTAGTTTTGTTTTTTTTGTTTGGTACCTGCAAGACGTCCAAGCCCTCCGTTTCCCAACCCTGCATCCTCCTCAATCTCCTCCAGCTCTTCCAAATCTAGTCCAAGCTGAAGATCAGCACCATTGTGTAAAAAAAAAAAAGCATCTCATTATAAAAGTATATACACAACACAAGTTCCATTGGGCAACAAAATTTAAAATGATTACGTAAACTTCGTACAGTTTAAGGTTTCAGCAACTTCTGTGTTTTCACATTTAGTAAAGGAAGGGTTTAGACAGTTTTGCAAGCCTGTAGCAATTGGTCTACATCCCCAATGAGCTCTCTGTGGGTGAGCAGGGGAAAAAACAACAGCTGTTTCTAAAGTATCAGGATGTTTAAGTAATAGAGCTGTGGGCCAGTTCTGCAATTAAATAACAAACGCTCTACTAAAATATTAAGTTTGCCAAGTCACAGTGATGCACTTTACCTGGTAGATGGCCTCATCACAGGCATTCTGCAGCCCAAGATTTATCATGGTATTCTGTAGAGTTCTACCCATGTAGAACTCTAGAGAGAGATAGTGGATGCGCTGCAACAGAAAACACACAGATAAATCTGACTGCATGAGTGTTCATGTCTACAGAGAATCTGTATCTGAAGCAGATGTAGGTAAAAAAACTACATAAAAAGTATGACAATACAAGGTACAAAGATTAGAAGATGCTGTCTGGAAAATTCGCCCTTCTAACATTACAATTAATCACTATGTGAACTGGAAAGAAAAGTAATGGTCTACCAATATATTGTTTTTTCAAAGCAAAACAGGAGAGCAAAATACTGAGCTCTAAAACTGATTGTTACACTTCAGAAATATCAATAGAATTATTTGTAATTAAATCACAAATGAATAAAATGACACATTAACATACTCTCCCTCTTAAAGGGAGACTGCAACTGAAAAAAGCACAAATGTCAGGACATGTCAAAACTTTTCCAGGCCCCAAAACACCCTCGGACCCCAGAGGGTTAAAGTCAAACGCATGCTCTGGTCATGTCTCTTCCAGGTTGCTCAAGTGCAACATGCTTAATTTGATGTCTTTTGGCTTGGGATTAGGGCTGCACGATTAATCGCATGCGATATTTAACGCGCATCTTGTCAGAAAGCCGGTTCTGTAATCAGCGGTAAATCTCCATCACCTGCGTGCTTTCACATTGAGCAGCATTAACTACACAGAGCCGTTGTTCACTGACGAGCTGCGCTAAACCACGTTCATATTCGCGCGATTTTTTGCGCTGCTCATCAGTGAACAACGGCTCTGTGTAGTTAATGCTGCTCAATGTGAAAGCACGCAGGTGATGGAGATTTACCGCTGATTACAGACCGGCTTTACTGATAAGATGCGCGTTAAATATCGCATGCGATTAATCGTGCAGCCCTACTTGGGATCAAATTTTCATGAGAGTCCATTCATCAGATGTCTGCAAAGGGAGGAGTTCACAGCTTGCTGAAGGCCTCAAATCCACAGTGAACAACATTTGAATACCACAGTAATAAATAAATGCTTGCTTCACTTTCATGTGCCGAGACGGTGCTTAATGACAGCATACCGTAGGTTTAAATAAAGTGACACAGTGTTTCACTGTTTTTCCAAGGGTCTGAACCTCAACAAGCTTAATGCTTGACAAGAGTTAAGTTCCTGGAAACACTTCACGTATTGGTGTGCTGTGCTCAACCATATAAAGCTATCTGGTTCCATTTAGAGATATCAAGATAGGAGGAAAAAACTGGTATTTTACTGGTTCAAAGGACTGCTGAAATAAAGCACACAAATCTCTGGAAAGCAGTACAACTCTCTGAATTTTGGCTAGTGCCCAGAACAGGACCATTCTAGTGCACTTAATAAAAAAAGTGTTAAATAATAAATTAATAGAATGCCAAAAGGCATAAAGTATAGAAAGTTCACACGTAATGCTGCTTTAACTAAAAATACATGGCTATATTTCATGTTTATCAACTAACAAGTAACATCAAGTTTCACAGAAACATAAATATATAGTGCAAGCCACATTGGTGAAACCACAAAAGGCCGGAAGAAAAACCACCCAAATCATAATAAAGCACCCAGGTCACAGGTGTCTATGAATAGCCACGAGTGATTCTGCACATGGACCATGTCAGTGCATTAGATAACGCCTATTATCTTCAACTGGGTTTGAAAGTATAGTGTAATCTGTACTTGAGAGCACACAACATCAAGTGGTTGCAAAATGCTCAGACAGTTACTAATGATGGCCTAATGTGACAAGGAACAGATCACACTTTGCACAGGAAGCACAAACTAACAGCTGACCCCATGTTAAAGGATGACCAAATGGATGTCAATGCAAAGAACACAAAGCTGAGAAAACAAATGAATGTCCAGGTTAAATTCAAGATGAATATTCAGTTTACAACGCACTATGAATATGATGGTTTATGAATCAAACTATTATTCATTTATTCAAATACGCATTTATGCCTATTATGCAGTTACGAATGTATATACTAAAGTAAAAATAATTTACATGCATTTTTATGTATCCCACTACTGCACAAACATGCCACTTCCTGGCTGCCTACACAGGGAAGAGGAGGAAGAGGAAGAAGAGATCCGTACCTTTGGGTCTTTCTCGTAGTAATACTGCTGAGTGCGGATCCAGCGGCCCACCAGGTGATCCCGCACCGTGTGCGCCAGCGCGAAGTAATAATCCCGCGGGGTGGCCACATTGCGGTCCTTCACTAGAGTGAAGTGAAGATGCCTGTTGAAGCTCTTTTTGATTTCGGCAACATCCCCCAGCCCAGCTATACCACGAACACTGATCTGCTTGCGCTTTTCATGGTCGGTCAGAGGCTTGGACATGTTGACAACGCGTTTAAAAAGCAAAGAATGAAAGTTTGGACCCCTTGACTTGCTGTGCCCAGGTTGGTACGGTGTGCAAGGATTTTACACGCACTGTTCCCTTTGAGACACACCCCTATGTCAACTGGAGAAGAAAGTGGGCGGGGCTTTATAGACTGTCAGTTTATTGGCCAGTGACGCTTTCGTAATTGCATTGTCATTGGCTGCATGAGATGTCAATCAGCTCAGCAACGCTAACTAGCAACAGGTTTAGGAATATATTCAGAATTGCCGTTTTACTGTATAAACAGCTTTGGCCAGCAACTATTAGGCCTATATAACATTTTAGCATTGCCTCTTTCAGCTCTAGTAAAGACGACTTGTAAAGGCTTGCCCATTTCCTTACGTTTCATAAGAGCTCAGTTTACATTGTTATAGTTATACAGGCTTTTTATTGATAGCTACAATTCCGGATTGCGTTAGAGCCAGCAACCAATGGAAAACGTTTAAAAGTGGGAGGAGTCAGATTTAGAAGTGAAGACTGAATACTGTTTGTGTGTATGTGAGTAGCTGACATGCAGTGACAAACCATTCTTGATTTAAATCTATTTTTAAACATTTAAATAATTATTCTACAATTCTTTTATGTTATGCCTGTCTTGATAGGTGACAAATAAATAAATAAATATATATATACAAGCTTGCTGCTTGACTCTGCTGTCTTTTAAACAAACTATTGACAGGGATATTGCTTAGAAAACCTGATCCTGAAGACCAGGGAGAAATAAGGCTGGAAGGAATAATAATTTTATGGGGTTTAGAGAGGAATTGTTGTGGTCTCAGGTGCAAAAACAAAAAGTGTTTTCATACTGTTTTCAATATACAACAGCTTCAACTGCCATGATTGAGATACCACCATTTGCCTCTTAGGCTTCCCAGAGATAGATTTGTTACTTCAGGTCCACAGACAAGGACAAGGAAAATCATATTGTGTAAATGCGATACGGATTTGGAAATTAACTGCACTTTCTAAAAACCTCAATACAACATCCTATGATGAGTAACAATGAGTAATAAATTGTGACATTTGGGCTGCCCAACCCCCTGCAGGCTTTAGTGTTGCGACACCTGCTGGTACCAAGAAAGAACAGCAGCATGTCTGAACAGGTGAAAGATGTGATGGGACACAAGGCAGACCACATCCTGCTGTCTCACATTATGACCTTCTTGTTAACTTTATGTGCAGTCGCACTTTTAAATACTTCACACAGAGCAGTTTTCAACTTTTTTTTTTTTTTTAGATTATATTTATATGGCATTTTATATAAACATATTTCCTATGTTTAATAATAGGCACATTTAGTTTATAACTACAAGAGAAAAGTACATGGACATGACAGTAACAGTTCTGGTCTGTTTTTCTTCCATCTGAGAGCAGATAATATACAGTATAATACTAAGTACATGATTTATTTGAACATACTGGGTAATATATTAAATCAAACTAGAAGCTAGAGAATAATTAAATATAAAATAAAAATGAAATAACATGAACTTTGAGCTTGAGGCAATCAAGTGTTTTTGATCAGTTTTATATAATTAACCCTGACTAAAACGATTCTGACATGCTGTAAACACGCAAACCAGTACAAACATTTTACCTTCACTCATAGCTTAACATACTAGTAGGAAAACAGAAACATTCAGAAAGTCAGAGGTATGTATAAAAACTCACATTATAATAAATTCAATGACAAAATGGCAAATACAATCAATGTTGATATTTTAAAATCATTCAAATCAGTTAGTGCTTTACTGGGTACAAACATTGCAAATGTCTATGTTTTCAGCACGTCCCATGCTTACGGAGTGACTCTATGCAATGGAAAGTGGCACCGAGGGCCCAGCTAGTCTCCGCGTTATTTATTTGTCTTGCCAGCTGAAATTTAAACAGAACAATAGGGTTAAACAAAAATCACAGCATCACCATTGTTCTTCAAAATATTACAGATAAATCCCATACTGCTGCAGTTAACATGTTGCAATCTGTGTCCAAAAGTCACAGCGAAGTAACTATTTCACAGTCCTTTAAATCAAGAGTAGCACACCTTCAGCTCTTTGTCAGGAGGGAAGTCAAGCTCCTGAAGAAGTACCGAGATGTAGGTCAGATCCAAACACAGGAACGGACTCTCCTTTATTCCTCCAGCTGCCATGTTATTGCACACTGGAGCAGAAGAGAGTTAGTTAATGTTTTTTTAAGCAAAATAAAAGAGTGGATTATTTATAAAATGTACATTTACATTACATTTATGCATTGGGCAGATGCTTTTATCCAAAGCGACCACATTCAAGGTACACATTTACATTTTATAAGTTCTGAGTATGTCTAATAATCTAATATTATAGTAATAATGACACCATGACATGTTATTTCTTTTGCAGTACTGGAACTTCTACACTACCTACTTCAAAAATTTGGAAATTTTTTTTTTTAAAGAAATCTCTCATGCTCACCAATGCTGCATTTATTTAATAAAAAAAAATACAGCAAACAGTAATATTGAGAAATATTATTATAATTTAAAATGTTTTCTATTTTAATATATTTTAACATTTAAAATGTATTCCTATGATGGCAAAGCTCAATTTTCAGCAGCCATTACTTCAGTGTCATATGATACTTCAGAAATCAATCTAATAACATTCTAAAACACTGATCATTATTAATGTTGAAAACAGGTGTGCTTATTAATATTTTTGTGGAAACCTGATATGATTTTTTTTTTTCAGAATTCCTTGAATAAAAGGTAGAAAGAACAGCGTTTATTTAAAATACATTTTTTGTAACAATGTAAAGGTTTTTTGTCACTCTTGATCAATTTTGGCATCCTTGCTTAATAAAAGCATTACATTTTATTTACATTATTACATTACATTTGTCAGATACTGACATCATAAAATCAGACAAAAACACCTACATTCTGTTACAAGAACACACTTACCTTTTTTAGCACCTTCAGTGTAATCACTGACTCTGACAGACCCCCCTGTGCTTTCATCTGAGTCAGAGACACAGAAAATGATTAGTGAATTAGTGAAATTACAGTTCAACTCATTGCTTGTTACTCTTAAATCTAAAAAACAATGTTTGACTCAAATCAAATGACAGCAATCAGGCTAATCTCATACCAATGAGGCCCAGATCTACAGCCCTGTCGTAGTGATAGGAGAATGCATAGAAGTCCATGTCTTTCACTCCCTCAATTTTTCTCACACGTTTGTAGATCATCTTTTCCACTTTTGTAAGGCAAGTCTCATAGATGGGCTCCCCTAGAAGAGAGCACACACGCAAGTGAATATAAAATCAAATATCATATTATAATGATACAATTCTGGGGAGTAAAACTGAATGTAAATTAAATTGAACATACAAAAACCTAAACCAGGCAGAGAGCGTTTTTCATACCTGCTTTCTGCCCTTTAACAGTGTAGAGAACTTCAGCATGCTCCCACTGTCCAGAGTAATCTGGGGCTAGACAAGGACTAACCAGCTCTTGGGGTCCTGCTACTGAAAACACACACAGCAATCAATCAAATGATTTATTTATGCACATCACAGGATTTTTACTGCCACTATGTGGAATAACTGTGACACTACTGGAGGACAATCCAGACAACATTCAGACTCTGACTCTGCAGTACCACCTGGTGGCCAAACATTCAAACACGTTTATAATAACCTTAGAACCCACTCAGAGAGAAGCAGGATACACGTATACAACGGACAAAACTATAAACAAAGAAATCTGATTACATTTGTAGTGTACTAAATGTAAATCTCAGTAGTGAACTGCAGGCGGAAGCTATTGCACTGATGGCAGTTTCTCTCTCTGGCCTCAGCTAAATCAGTGCAACAGCTGGCCACCAAGGAATTAATCTTCAGTGCGTTATTAAGAGATTAGATAATGGCTTATTTATCGAGCGAATGAGGTCTTTAAAAGCCAAAGATGAAGAGAGATTGTAGACCACATACAAGGCTGTCCTTCAATCCCTCCTAACACAGCAAGTCTGGCTGACATCAACCCCAGGCCAAGGTAACTACAGAGAAAGAGAAGAGACATTAAAGGAATGAACATACAAAAGACAAATATTTTTATTTTTTATTATTTTATTACAATTTGTATTTGTATAAAAATATAAATATACATGCACATATTATATAACCTTAATATAAGTCAAACATTTCAGAATTTCATATGAGTATATGAGATATGAGAATTGCACACTACTAAGGCAACTGTCATACACCATAAGTGATCCCACATCCAACCCTCATCACCATCTTGCCTTTTAAATGTCAATGAGTACAGACTTTGCTTGGTTGGTCTCTGCTGGAGGGCTTGTTGTGTCAAATCTCCTGCCATGAATAACTAGTAATTCTAGTAAGCTGGAGATGTGTCCCGTGATGGGATTGTAATTGGAGGCTTGTGTGATTACTCTCTAATCAGGAGTGCGAGGCGAGGCGCACACACACTGCCTCATAAACACTTGTGCTACCCACACTAAACACTGAGCTCAAATAACCTAGAAATCCCTGACGCCTCTGATCAAACACAGGAACCAACCGGGTGGCAGTGTCAAACATCGGCCAGAGGTTTCACCCTAGTGCTAGAGGACTGCAAGTCATGTAACCTCACTGGATAAAGCCACAGAGAAAACTGAAGTCTTTAAACAGATAGAGTAATGTAGTAATACTGTATTTCTGAGTGTTGAGGATTCTTCAGTGAGGTGTAATGAAGACCAGCCTGAGGAATGCATGATATTGTACTATCAGTTATTGGCTCCAAAAAAAAAAGAAAATCAATTTTTCTTGCTGTACAATTATAATAATGTGATGCCTAAATTCACCTGCAGGGCTCCAGACTGCGACCATTTTTTTCTGCCGGTGCGAATAAATGTTGTGCTCAGTCGTACTGGCGCGACCACTGCGTTGTTCAATTCGCGCTGCCATTTATGTCACATATGAGAAATATCAAACGGCAAACGAAACAAAAGCAACAAAATCCCGCTACTCGTTTGAGCTGCGCAACGCAGACCGTTTATCAACTCGGACCGCGACGCAAACAAACTTGTCCGAACT